AACCAAAGAGGATTAAATTCTTATAAAATTAAACAAAACGAAAGCGTAAATACATAAAAAAATAACCCGCAACACTGGAAAAGATCTCACAATGGTGCTTTGAAAACAAAAAATAAAGTAAACAGGAAGCAATTATGAGTGATGAGTTACTATTATAAAAACAGTACTTATAACAACGTCGGATAAATAAGCCAAACATAACTTGGTAATAAAACACGAATCTAGAGGTCTATTATCAAATTTACAAGTTATCTGTTACATAATTTTACTATAAACAAAATCAGCATCCTTCTTGTAACACGCTTTAAGAAGAACGACTAAGCAACTGAATTACTGTGTAAACGCACAATGGACAGCGATGAGATTAGTCGTCAATCTCGTCATATTCAGCGATCAGAGAACTGAGATCATCAAAAAGCGTATCAGCGGCTGTAACAGTTTTTATAACAATCAAAAAAGCAGAATCCTAAATATCTGCTACAGCCGGCGCAGCAAAGTAAAAAGCAGAGTCAATTTCATGAGAAGAAAACTCAAAATCTCTTAATCATAAACTTTCTTACAATGTTCAGCCAGTTTTTCCTTGTTACACTCTGGTTCCTGCTCTGTTTTTTGAGACAGAGAATTAGTACCACCAATTTCATCGTGGTTCCCAGCGCTCTTAGCACGTCGAGGATCGGTAAGCACCTAAAAGTGGCTTGAATAATAAAAAACATTCCTTCTTGTGTTAACTTGTGAGTCCCACGAAATGTTCGAAACGATAATGGTGGCAAGCAAAACAGCATACTGCAGGATATTCAGATTTTTTAGTTCGTGTTTCCACTTTAGAATGCAAAGGTTCTTCAGTGATTTCACTTGTTAATCGAGCAAGCTCATTAGCTGTCGAGACGTAATCAAGTGGCTCCTTCTAAAAGTTAAAAAATTTCAAAATAAACTGAGTTATGTGATGCCGCAAAATTCCAGGAATTCAACCCCTATGAGAGTATTTTCTTTTTTTTCGAAAAATCAATGAACCTTTGCTTCATGTAACGATAAAGATTTATTCTGTTCATCAGTAGCAGTCGTGGCTTCCACAGCACTCTTTCCTTCAGTACCAATGACATTGGTGCCACCAAACCCTTAAGAAATAAAAGAATTAACAAACATACAGGTAAAAAAAACGTCTGCATGATGATAAAATTCAACAGCAATTTACTCATGGTTAGAAAACTACCGGCAATAACACGTGAAGAATCTTCTTTAGCGGTCCCTTGGGATTTCGAGGAAAAATGAAAATTGTTTGAAGCTACGCGTGGGCCATGCGAGTGTTTCAAAATCCCGGCAACTGTATGGTCCTGCTAGAAAATATTCAAACTGCAAAGGAAGTTTGTCTTTTTATAAATTCCTCCCGTGGCATTTATTTTATTAAAGTACTCTTCGGTTTCAGGACTAATACTGGGGAAAAGCAGATGAAACCTTTCGTCACCTCAAAAATCATTGGCGGTATCTTTAACATGCTATCAGGCCTTGGCGGCAAATTACAGATAGGCGTCGGCCTATAACCCTCAGAAAATTCTTCAGGTCCTTTCTCAGCTAAACGATTTCCGTTCTAGAAGCATTTATATAACTAACCTTCCTACAAATCCGCAAAAAACATGATGCGACTATTCTGACCAAAGTTTAAGAAAAATATGGATGCGGCAATATAAAGTACAGCAATGAAAGTACAAAAAAAAACAGATTAACTTTTTGTTGTTGATCTGGAGAGACCACTGCTGAAACGCTCCCATTATTAACTCTTCCAGTAACCTCGCCCTTCACTGACTTTTGAGATGTTGAGTGCTGAGACCCCCTATCCTCACAAGAAGAATTTTCTACTTCAACTGTTTTCATCAAATCCTTAAAATAAAGCATATGAGGATTAAATATCAGTGTAGGATATAATAAGAACACACTGCAGCTTAGTTCAAATCAAATAGTTCTTTGTTAAACCCTTAAAAAAAACAGCAAAACAAAAAAATTTGACATTTTTCTAATTAATGAAAATAAACTGAGCAGCTCGTTTATATCCGTATAAAAAAGAGAAGCAAAAACAAAACACCAACTATTTTTCAAAAACCTATGATTTACAATTTTAATATAAATGACCGTAGTTCCCAACTGAAAAGTGGGTAGTCTTTCAAAGAAATCAAAACTGATTCAAGATAACAAGTTAATATAAAAGACGAGAGAAAAAAGTTTGAAAAGAACAGTCAGATAACATGAGAATAACAGAAATAAATAAATCTCTCTAAAACAGAAAGTTATCTGATCAGAATCCATCGCAAACTTAACTCGTGGAAATCCGGAAAGTAGGAATAATCATTAAATTATTGATTCAAACCAAAAAAAACATACACTGCTGGCTTCAGGATTAACAACTGGTTTTGCAGTCAGTTTTCGCCAGCTTTCCGAACAAGATCCTGTATTTTCTTTAATCTTTGGGAAACTAGTGGTGCTAATTTGGTCACAATCTGAAAAGAAATCTTCCCAAATAATTATATTATCAGAAGGTTTAAAGATGCCATCCAAAATTAAACAGGAAAATTGCACATTAAAATGCAACCTTCTCTAAACTGATTCTCAGAGAAAAAAGGTGGTGGAATAGACGGATCAAAGTCGGGAGGCCTCGTCCACAAATTCTGCTGGGGATGCTCAAAAAAAGGACGACTGAATTCACCAGTATGTTCATCACGATATAGGTGTTTGCCGTCATGTTTTTCCTGACGATCGCTACGTGGCGGACTTCGATCCTGACGAAAAAAACTGCGTGATCCTGAGCGCCTATTTTCATGAGAAAATCTGCGATATCTCGGACTGTATTTTCCCCTGTCATTATGGTGAGACCGAAAACTCTCTCCTTCAAAACCGTAACGCCGGTCCCAAATCTCTTCTCCGGACAATCGGCGTGAAGGTGAGAACCTCTTAGACCTAAATTTACGAAACATAAGTTATGGCACTAGACTGTGTTCCATAAACAAATGACTGTTTCCGATAACAGGGTCCAAAAAACAAAAATATCGAAAAATAATTTCTACAATGTGATAGTA